TCCTGCTGCCTGGCGGTCGTCCACAGACCTCAGGACACCACAGGAGTCATGTCCCACAGCTGCAGATAAACAGAACATGTAATCAGTCTCAAACAGAGACTACGCTCATCACTTAGCTGTTAGAGACTTTTCTGCTGACTCTTTCTAAAGTTCAGACAGAAATGAAGCCAGAAATGGTTCATGCATATCTCTGGATCCGACACGCAAAACAACCAAAACAAACTGCAATGTTCTTGGCCGAGTCCGATGTTTTTGAAGTCCGACCAGCTGATTCCAATTGTGGGCAACTTAGATTTTCTTTATTTCCAATAACTGTAATTGACAGCACACACACACATTTTTGTAACTTTTCTTTCATGTAATTATAAACTGTAATAAAGTTTTACACGTTCTGTTTCTCTCTCTTTTTTCAAACCTCCAACTAGAAGTGAAGGGCAATATTTGTACTTCTGCAAATAAAACCAGGTGCAACAGGTAAACAGAAACAGCAGAATGTCTGTTTCTATGTGTATGATTGGAACAGAATCGTAAATCTCTGAGTGATCGGCAGGTCACCAGTCAAGGCCGATCACACTGATCGATCGGTGCATCTCTACAGTTTCCCATTTTAATAAAAAAAAAAGACATTTGCCATTATTATAAGTGTTTTTCCTCTATGGCAAAGCCTCAGTAGTTTCATTATTTTAATCTAGCAGGCAGGGAAACAGTGAATAAATCATCTTATAAACAAATTAAATAATGATCCAAAATGTTTCTGACAGACTGATGAACACTATGTGCCAGAAACACAGTCCTGCCACAACATTTTAACAAGCTGTAGTGCCTATAATGTTGGCGAAGAACTACTTGTTCACACATTCAGCAGATACAGTGTGACACTATCATGCCACTGAAACTGTCCAGACCAATAATTAATCTCCTTTTAGTTCCTTTGGTCTCCACCAGCTCCAGTTAACATGTTCAACACAAAGCTATGATTTGGAAAAAACTTATGTATCTGAAGTGATTCATAAAAAAAAAAACTGCCAGCATATTTGAAGTGTTGAGAAATACACCAGCAATTCCTTGCTCTGACCCAAACCCATTATTTGTTCCATGGTCCATGACCTAACTTGCCACCAAACTGTGCTGTCAACAGGGACCACAGCAGGTGGTGATCTTGCTAAGAGACAGAACTGAACAAACATCCTAAGCTTCTAACCCTGCTACTAAGTGTTCACAGATTCAGGAATACAACAAAGATCCTGTTCTCATCCAGACCTTGACGACCTTGTCGGTGCCTGAGGAGAGCAGACTTCCAGTGGTGGGCTCATAGTGCATGTAAACGATGCTGTGCTTGCTGTCATGGAAGGTGGCAGTGGGCGCTCGGCTGGAAGACACAAAGGGAACTCCGGTTACTGAACTGTGCGAGCACTCATAAAGGTTAGAGAGCACAGAGGGCCGGTTTATGACAACAGAGGCTGATTGTTACTCACTCCTCGTCAGTGATGGACTCGTGGCAGCTGTCACACACGCGTACCTCGAACTCGAAGCCCATGAGGGGGATGGTGGAGCGTTTGGACGAACATTTGCCGCACACAGCCTGACCGCACTTTCTGCAGTGGTGCTAAGGAAGAGTTGAACAAGTCCCCCATGATTAGACACTAGTTAGAAAAAGCAGTAGTAGCAGCTCCACTAGCTCCACAGTTCAAATCCTGAAATCTGTCATGGTGCAACATTACTGGATTTAACTCCCTTTTTAAAATGATCAGAGTAACAGTTGGTGCAGTAAACAGGTTTTGTTTCTATTCAAAATGACTTATTACATTTAAACTCAAACTGAACACATGTGGTGTGTGTGTGTAATTATTCCTCTAACATAATTAATGATACAGATTACTTTATTAATCCCCAAGGGAAAATTCTGGAACTTTTGTCATTTGAGTCATATTTATGTCTTTATGTGATCATACACAATGCGACTCATTGTATATCTACTGTCAGAAAACTTAAGAGTCGATTCACTGCGCTGCGTTTGAGAATGTAGTTTTTACTATTTCAGCTTGAAGAGCATCATCAAGGACACGTCACACTATTCGTTGTGTAGTACTTTTTATTTGCAGTCAAGACCTTTGTGTTGTTTTTCCTCAAGTGCAATGAAACAGAAACATGGACAGAATGTTCCTGAAAACTACTGTTCAGCAGAAAAAAAAAAAGGGGGGGGGGGGGGGATTTATGTACACAAGACGAAAAAAGAGTACACAGACACACTTGAAGAGAGTAACTGCAAGATAAAGCTGTTACTGAGAACAAGGCAGTAAAACAGCCACAGGATTTTTGTGCAGAAGTGAAGAGTTGTGTATCTTTGCTGGAAAGTTGTTTTGGTGTGTGGTGGTGATCTTAACTTTAATGGCAGTTTTTGTTAATGATGATTTACTATTAAAGATTGTTTTCTACAGAAGTGAAGAGGATTTTATGAATGGACTGTAGTACCTGTCGCAGGCCGATCTTCTTACTGTCCCACATCTGTTTGAAGTTCCAGAAGAACGGCTGCTCACACTTCTGACAGGAGTCGCACTCTGGGGTCTGCGGAAACACATTTCTTGTTTCTAGATGTTCCTTAATTATTACCCCCAATATAATGAAAACAATATAAACACTTAAAGCACCATTTTAGACCCTCCCCCAAAAGGTGTAACTTAAGAAAAACAAAACAGTTTTACTAGAAACTGAAGCAGACTATAGAGCACAAAGTCAACGGTTTATTTAGCTTCACAGCTTTTTGGGGAAACAAGAACGATTAAAGGAATACTTCAACATTTTGTGAGATATGTCTTTTGCTTTCTCTTTGAATATCAGTCAGAAGGAGTCAGAAGGTAGCTCGCTGTGCACAGAATAAAGACTGAGAGCAGTGTGCCAACAGCTAGCCTGGCTTTATCCAAAGTGAAACAAACACCTACCTACCAGCACATGGAGTCACCTTATTTACACAGTGTATCTTGTTTAATTCCTACACACTCAGCAATGTAAAGTGACACACTGTAGTAACAGGGGGAGTTAGCTGCTGAAACCTTTTCTTGACAAAGAGCAATTCATTCATCCACCCAGAACGTGTGTGTCTGCTGCTACTGTATATTCTGATAGAGGAGGGGAGCACAGGGTTTGTTAATACACAGACACAACAGACCAAACCTGGCAACCTCACTGTGACAACAAGACTTTAACATGCTGACATGGGAAACAACTTGGGGAGTCACCACCAGCATGTGTAAAGAAGCCCCATTAGGAGTGTTGACCTCATAACCTTTTTTTGTGACTTGGATTTCTCTGTGCATATGAAACTAGTTTTAGATAATGAAAGAATAAGAGAAACAAGGGAAACGCAGAGCAGTGTTTGGTAGAATAGTTCAGAGTGACTGGAGAACAACAGCAAACTACTGACTTTATTTTAAATCTTGTCCTCAGGGATGATAGCTTCAACAAAACCAATGACTCAGAAAATAAAAGTAAGATGACAATGTGGGCCAAATAACAGAGACGGAGGCAGCGCAGAATGACAGTGAGGCAGAAAGGAAGTGACTCTGGGTAAATAAAGAAGCAATCACATTCTAACTAACTGTCAGAGCACAGAGGGAGAGGACACAATGCAAGGCTGAAGCTGGACTCGGTGCATCTGAGAGAGAAAACCAAAGGACATCCCACTGATCTGGTGACCTTTCATGAATTTGTTCAGAGGATTTATTCCAGCAGTTCATCCACCACATTCATTTGTATGTGCACAATATGAAACGGGCATGAAAACACACAGCATGTATTTTTTTCCCCAGTTTGTTACAGTTCATACAAGTGAGTATGAATGTGTGTTTGTGTGTTGGGTTGAGTCTTCATCTCACCTCTTGTCGTGTCACGTCCATGTTCCAGATGACAATGCCTCCGTCTGAGCTGCAGGAGATGAGCTGACGAGTGTGTGAGGCATAGCACAAGCCCTGAACCTTGTCACTGCAGGAAACACATACAGTACACACACAAACACACACACCACCAGCGCTGAATTAAAAAGTACAGAGCAGAGAGACTGGTGCCCGAGCACCTCAGCACCATCAGTTATATCCAGTGGCAATTCCAATAAAGTTTATTCAAACAAGATGGCTGCATGCTCAATGTTGACAAAAAGAGAAAAAGGTTTTCCTTAAAGCAGTGAAGTGTCTCGGTCAGACTGTAGTTTAAGCCACAACATGTAAAATACTTCTCCAGTAATAAAACAGATCTTGGCCATGGATCTTTGACAGCAGGCATGAAGGGATAAAGATCATGCAACCGTGCAAACGGCCAGAAATCCATCCAGTCATCTGAGAGGCAGAGCGTTGATGAATGAGGCACCGCGAAATGCATCAAATGACACCTGATGTGGCAGAAATTCAGCAGCTATATTTAGCCGGGGGCCACCAATCTGGCCCAATCCACACCGAGTGTTAAGTAGTTTGAAATGACGACATGTATGGTGGTAATTCCTATTTATTTCTTAACTGATGTAGCCTGTTTAATGTATTTGTTAGATAAGATCCATGAAAGACGAACATTTAGAGACTGATGGCATGATGATCGTTGAGTTTTTTTAATCAACGAAACATTTTGTAGACTATTCGACATGAGGTCATCACAGCTTTAAACTGGTTCTTTTACAGTATTTTGTGGCTTATTATACAGATTATTATATGATTTTTGCACAAAAGTTGATTAAAGGACAAGTTTAGTATTATTTTCTGAAAGAAGAAGACATTTATTTAAGTCTCTCTGTTTATTTTACCTTATACTGCTGCAGGTTTTTATTCCAGCAGTTCATCCACCACATTCATTTGTATGTGCACAATATGAAACGGGCATGAAAACACACAGCACCCTTGACTTGACTTGTCAATACTGTTAGAGAAATGTCACCAGGTCTGGTTTGGCCAATAAGATTGTCTTTGCAACTTTTATATAAAAACTTACTCAGGTATTGCCAAAACATACTGTATGTAAATACAGCAGCAAGGTGCGTAACTGAAAAAAGCAGCAATTTCCTGTATTGATAGTTTAATATTGTTTTATCCTGAGGTAGCTCTGTTTGCATTGAAAAAAATACAACACATTAACCACACAACAATAAAAAATAAATAAAGCACAGTATAAACAACATGAATATCAAAGTAATGCAACGAAAAAGACAAGAATATATCAGCAAAAAGCACATGCACTTATACTTACAACCTGACAGTGTTGTTTGGAATGTTTGGGATTCTTACTTATGTCCTTGCAGCTCGATGGCAGTTCCCTTACGCCCTCCGATGTCCCACATAATGATAGAGTGGTCTGAGCTGCCAGAAAACAGCACCCTCTGAACCGGGTCCCAACACAGCGCTGTCACATTACCTGAGGCAAACCCCAACACACCCACACGGGGACAAATGAGTGGGTGAAACACATCGGCACAAAGTCACATGGGCACACAAAGGTCAAATACCAAGGACACAGATCAGTCTAAGGCCAGTGAGCAAAATATCATGATGACCATCAAGCTTCAAGCTCCTATTCAAGACACCATAAAATACCATGATGACCATCAAGCTTCAAGCTCCTAGTCAAGACACCATAAAAGACCTTTTTCATGATCTCTTTTGTTGAGGCAGATGCCACAGTGATAGTCGCAACAGATTTTCTTGAACATGAAGACCATCAGGGACTTTCAAAAACACTCCTTAACTGACTCAATGAATCTGCAACCTGTCTGAGGACAGAGGCTGAACAAAACAATCTATCATCAACCATTATGTGTATTTAATGCTACTACTGACAGTCCCCTCAAATATGAAAGAAATCATTTAAATATAAAAATATAAAAGCATAAAGACTTTATTTCTCTTTTCTGTTCGCTGCTGATATACTGTATTTCTGTAAAAAGGACTGTAACCACAGTCATCACCAAGAATATAAAAATGATCAGTTTCAGCTCAGGCTGAAGCAGAAAGAATTCAGCTTCTTCTGTCGGGGTACTATGGCTTATAGATAAATCTATTGAATATTTTTGATCAATAATTCTTTAGTCTATAAAAGGTCAGAAAATACAGAACGCCACTAAAAGGAACATTAAGTTGCTTGTTTTGTTCAACCAACAATTCAAAACCCAAAAAGTCATCAGATAACACAGAAGAAAAAACCTAGCAAGCTACCAGTGTGTCCCTTGAAGGTGGTAACCAGGCTGCAGCTGTCCTGCTCCAGCTTCAGGATGGTCACCTGACCAGAATGGTCCCCTACGAAGGCGTGCCTGGTCTCCACATCGAACCTGGGTTAAAATTGAGGTCAAAGAAGACGACGGTGTTCTTTGCTAAAAAAAATGACTGATGCATTACCTCAGATTTTTATCTGTTACTGAATCGAAAGCACAGATGAAACAAGAGCACTCCCACTGCTGTTTCAGTGGAACAGCTGTTCTACAAAATGTACAGTTGAGGAAAAGCCAACATAAACTATGAAATGTAAGATTTGACTCATAACCCTTTGTAGTGGCAGGAAAGAAACTGCAGTGATCATTTAAGTCACTGCGGACCAAAATCATTAGAACACATTCACACTGTAGAAGAGCAAAACAATGACTGCATAAGAAACAACCTAGTTATGACCGATTTTAATCTTCCGCCTGAAAAAGAAATACAAATCTAATTACTAAATGAAGCCTGAAATGACGTACACAGTCTGTAACGATCCCCATGAACGCAAATTTGGTGAATTTTCCAGGGTCAATATCAGAGATTCCCCTCTGCAGCATTTAAATTCTCATTTACCAACAACATGGAAGAAACTCAACACTGTTTCACTGAAATAATACCAAGAACAGCATGTTTCCTTTACCTCTCCATGAATTACTGTGGTGCAAAGAAGAAATGACAAAAAAACCCATCTCGCCACTAGACTAACAATAAACTTGAGCCCATGAATGAATTTAAATTTCAGTGAGATAAAACACATCTCTGTAACCTTCCTAGCATGAAAACACGTGTTTGTTGTGAATGAATCAGTTTCATTCAACCTTAGTTCTGTAATTCTTCCATGTCCGTACAGATGCACATGCTGCAGGAGGGCCTGTCCTGTAGGTTGGTGACCCCTGGTCTTGGTTCAGATCAGGCTAGATTTGGTTAAAAACAAGTTAAGTGCAATGTACTGAATAACAGTCACAAAGGTTCTACTGGGGTGTAACTCAAGTGTAAACTAAACACCTCAAACTCTTTAAATTCAGCTTGATTTTAAGATTCATGCACTGATGCTTTTTTCCACCCACTAGGTTTTGTCACATGTGGCTGTTGGAACAGAAATGGTCACTTCAAACTGAAAACCATAACTGCCACTGCTCAGGATCTACTCTGCTACTCATTTTCTCACCATGCTAACCAGACAGGTGAGCATGTTAAGGCTAGCAGGACACCAGTAGTCTGTGGGCCTCGTGGCAGGCTCATTGGTATGGATCAGTGTCGCTGCCGAGCACTCACAGCCTTTCATCTGGCCATTACAGAAACCTACTCAGTCCGTTTCCTTGACAACAGCATGACTGATGCCTTTCGTTAGCCATTCCCATTAGTGCAAGCTAAATGGAAGCTAATGTCAGTTTCCCTGTCTTATGTTGGTGTGGTCTTAAAATAGACTGCTTTTTGATAATAACAGGGAGAGGTTTTCAAGAGTGAAGCACCAGAGATGGCTTGTCATTTCCCACTTGGTTAAGTCCACTCCACTCCATTTAGCGGGAAGCTTAGCTGTCAGGTTCACTGAGCAGCACTTAAAGGCCAAGAGGTCTGCAAACAAAGACACCAAACAGGCCAGCAGGGGAGCTGGGAGAGGGGGAGATAAAGGATACTGGAGTCCAGAAACCCAGGCAGCGGTGCGATACGTCCCCAGTTGCTGGCCGCTCTCAGAGCAGTGCCAGGTGAAGTTTTTGTCCTGGCCAGTGCTCAGAAGCCACTCCATCTCCAACACAAATAGCACCACTGTCACTCTGCCCTGGTGGGCTGCAGGCACACAAACACAACACATTAGATCCATTTTCACAATCACAGTGCATGGGTCTGCCTAGCCAGAAATCTCGAGTAGGATGGTGCCAGCTATTTCCAAACAGTGTATAATCAACACAGTGTGCTGGACAGAAAGATGATGCTACATTAGATATGGTCCAGCACCAACGGCCTCTTTAAGGAGAGAGCAGAACAACAAACCAAGAGGAAGTGGCTTGACACTGGTGGAGAGATATTTTGAGATCTTATAACACAACATGTGGTACTGATCTTCACAAAAATATGAGAAACACACATCATGAAAGGTCACTCTGCATTTCTCCAAGGCTCCTACAGCATGTGCACTCATTCAGTAATAAGCCTGTAGTGTTGTCGAGTCTGTAGAGGAAATCGATCAGTGGTGTTGCGAGCGACTCATACTCAGCTGAAAGAAGTGAATTATGAAGACCACCAGAGAGCAAACATTCCTCTGGCTTCTTCAGGAGGTTTCAAGTGCACGGGGCTGAGCAGACTTTATTAGCAGTCAATGTCCTGAAACCGACTGTGTAATAATACACAGCACACTAATAAATTATACGCCTGAGAGAGTTCAGAGAACTGCAGAGTCTTACAAATACACTTTCAAAGACACATATTTTAAAGATACGCTTTAGATCCAACACATTGGATGTCATTACTGAATTACTGGCTGTCTGTAGGTATCAGTTACAATTTGTCTTTTAAATACCATTTAATTCTAATTCAAATATATGTGACACAGGAATTACAGGTTTGTTTTTTATATGGGGGGCAACTGGGTAACTTAAAGCTCCTCCAGTACATTATGTGAGAATACTGATGTTAGACTGTAGCATCATTAAAATGATCCCACCAAAGAATTCCACCGGTTGTGTGTGAAATCTTTCCCTGTTCACTCATTCACTACTCCTTATATAACGTAATGTACACCAAGTAGGTCACTCAGTACTGAACAGTAAACTCAGATTTTGAACACTTACTAATCACCAGCATGTTGCATCATCACTAACAGCCGTAGAGCCGTGCAACAATAATTTTTCATGTCGTGGAGCGTTGCAATGTGGGATTGTTAGCAGAAACATAAAAAGTACTGTATTATGCCATGTACACTACTTTTTACGCTCCACTGTGGAATTTCTGAGTCACTATATGGTGGAGAGATTTACACACTCAGCAGTAGGACACCACTACAACATGGCAAACGCACTATATAGTGAGTAGGGAGTGATTTCGAGGACAGCCACTGTTTCTTAATGCAGCACCAGCAGGAGTCAGACATTTCACACACACACAGGTCTCACCCTGGTAGGTACGTGCTGGGGTCATCTTATTGTAGTCTTCAGACAGGATGAACTCCTGAAAGACAAGGACTGAAGATAAATATTCACACCGACTGAGGTCAGTGATTAAGGTTTCCAAGTAAATCTATAAATGTTATGTTCAAACTGCAGTACACATTTAATAATGCTTGACCCCTATTGTTTTAAATGAAACACACTATACTCGAGATATTTTGTGATAGTTTGTCTCCTTCTTTTAAGTTCTATCTAACATATTTTAAAGGCATACTCTCCAAATTTCAACAGCTCTATGTTTGTTCATTGCATGTGTTGTTGTATATGATGTACACTGTATAAGCCTCCAGTTAGCCTTCACGTGTGATCACATTTGAAATGTCTAAAAATGTAAATGCAAATGAGTGAAGTAAAAAAAACAAACACTGCAGGCCAGTAAAAACAAGAACAGCCCTGACAGTGTGATTTCCTCTGAGGCCCCTAAAAACACACTTGTAGAAACTTGAAGCTTGAAGGTTCTACAGAATATCCCGATATGCTACTGTCTAACTTTGCATTGGGCCAATTCGGTCCAAAAGGAACAACTCCTAGTGTGAAATTATCCAACAACAAAACACAACCTGAACATAAAAGCATGCTTCATCTTAGAACGGACCGGTATGTACTGTGTTTGTCACAGAATCAAACTACTTAAGCATAAAGTAGCACTATATCATCTTATTAGCAGCTAATACAGATGGTCATGTTGAGCACAACATACTGGCTACTTTGCAGTTTTTGGATCTTTAGGAATAATGAGAGTGGGCCTAAAAATAAAAAGGTCACTGGATCATAAAATTCAAATGGTTTCACTGTTTTGACTCTTCCTGATATATTAATCTGAAAAAAATGGTAATTATAAGATAAGATAAGATTTATTAATCCCACAATAGGAAAATTCATGTGCCCTAGCAGCAACAAGGAAAAAACTACAAACACCAAGCAACCACAAAAACTATGAAAAACAAATCAACTATAACCAAGTTAAAAATTACATGTATGCATATTTACAGTGCATTACCATTGAATATATGAGCATAACACTTCAGTTGACTATTTCACAGTCCCCTTACAACTACACCTTATGTATCACGACAATGATGCATTACACAGTCTAACAGCTGTGGGGAGAAACGACCTACGATAGCTTCCTGCACTGAGGATGTAACAGTCTAAAGGAGCTCCTTCCTCAGAGCCTCCACAATGTGGTGCAGTTAACCAACTTGTTAAGTCTCTTCGTGTCTCTGTCCGTGCTCCCTCCCACCCAGCACACCACAGCGTAGAGGACTACAGAGGCCACCACAGTATCATAAAATGTCTGAAGGAGTGCTCTGCACATGCCAAAGGACCTCAGTCTCCTCAGCAAATGGGGACAGCTCTGTCCCTTCTTGTACAGGGTATCTGTATTGTTGAGGTGGACACCCAGATATTTGAAGGTGTCCACAGTCTCAATGGGAATGTGTGTCAAAACCTTTGAGTGGTAGTGTCGGTGCAAGGCTACTGATAATTAGAGTCAGTGAAAATTAGGACTCAAATCTATATCTGACCAAAGACCATGATGAGAACCATGATTCTGTGCATTCTGACAATAATTATAGCTCCTGGACACCTCTACAACACACAGAGTACAAATCTCAGAGGCTTCCCTTTATCACCAATGCTGCTCACAGTTACCTGACCAAACTCTTTGTCCTCCTGAATAAACAAACTCACTAGACACACTCCAATTGCAACAAAGAGCAGCCAGCATTTTTACCAAAATGCATACAATTATTGCTGCATCTTACTGATGTCTCAAAAGGCAGATGACAATTATCAAAAAAAACCTCAGTCAAAAACGCAAACCAAAATGCTAAATACTGGGGTGAAAGGATCCTGAAACACAAGAAAGGCAAACTGTGCTGAGGTGATGAGTGAGGAAAGGAAGAAAGAGCAGAGGTCTGTGTTTGGAGGGGAGCAGGTTGGTGGCTGGACTTACACAGATACTTCCAGTATCCATCCCCACTGACAGCCTCCTGGTCTCTGGGTTAAATGTGTTTGTCCATCCACAAATAAAATCCAGATTTACAAATGTGTAAAAATGTGTGTGTGTGTGTGTGTGTGTGTGTGTGTGTGTGTGTGTCATAATTTTGGGAAAACATTCCAATCTAGGATTTTTTTTTCCAAGTCTGTATAATTATTGTAATTCCAGTCACTGTGGCTTCTGTTCTGCTGCAGTACATATTGTACCTCAGAAATAATTATCTACACAGGTTCTTGAAAGCAACAGAATTGTGGCAGTGAAATGATCAAGCAATATATTATATTTCCATTACAGCCTTGACATTGGAGACAGTTCTGACAAAAACCTCATTCCAAGATCAACTTATTGAACTTATTGTGATTAATTTGAATAAGACTGTGGTGTTGCAATCTCCTTGATGTGTTGGCTGGGGTTTATAAGGCTGTGCTGGAATTAGTCCTCTGGCTGAAACAATCACATTTTAATTCACATTTTTTCACTTTGTCACATATGTAATACATTTATTTTTTGGCTTCTGAAGAGCCTCTTTAATTTGTCTGTGTGCAGGCACCTTTTTTACATATGTGGAATATGAGGTTTATAAATCTAAATAATA